GTTTCGGGGAATTCACCCCTCATCAGTTGAGCTTGAGTAGGCTGAGGAAGATTGTGCCTGAAAAGCACCACTTATATACTGCTCTCCAGGCCAAACCATCACCAGGGATACAAACTTACAGAGACGCTTTGTTTCCAGCGCGACATACACCTCGTGAAGCCCCAGGTAGCAGCGTGAGTCAGAGTCGCTCATGGAGTTGTGCTAAACAGACGTTGAGAGCCAGTATAGCTATTCACAACGCTGTCACCTCCAACAACTAGTCGCACGTCCGCGTGAGGGACAACAATACGAACTTAGAAGTTGCGACTTCGGCGGTAATGTCATGAAGTTGGTTGCTCCAACGAGGAGCACACGCTTCTTGCCGAACTTGACACTTGACTGACTCACGACTGCCATCCGGAGCACACCAGGAGCACGTCGCACCTTCCGCTCGGCAAACCTGAAAGAAAGCACCACTCCCTGCTCAATACACAGTGTTTCGGGCACAATCTTCCTCAGCCTACTCAAGCTCAACTGATGAGGGGTGAATTCCCCGAAACACTGTGTATTGAGCAGGGAGTGGTGCTTTCTTTCAGGTTTGCCGAGCGGAAGGTGCGACGTGCTCCTGGTGTGCTCCGGATGGCAGTCGTGAGTCAGTCAAGTGTCAAGTTCGGCAAGAAGCGTGTGCTCCTCGTTGGAGCAACCAACTTCAGCGAATATGTACTTTGTACAATCACGAAAAATTGTAAGGCAAGTGTTCATGCCTGTCATAGAAGAATTTCAGCCCGAAGTAATTGTTGTCTTGATCATAAATAATACAGGACTTGAGTTGGCTCTGGACATTAACACACTTGTGGTGCATACGGTCATTATTGCGAGAAAAATATTTAGCCATTGTATGTCAACACCAGATGCCGCACTACAAGCAATATTTCATGTACGTGTATGTGAGACTCAATTGCATCCACAAGGCCGTAGATGCATGTAAGCACACAATGCTGTACAGTATAAGCAGTAGTCGACATGTGGTGCCTTCCTGCTGCACATGCGGCAAGTTGGCAATGACGCATGACCTATCCGCACCGCACAGCGTGAGCTTGAGACGGAATATTGTACACATAGTGCTATTTGTGTTCCGATACCGTGTAGCCGGTATACATGTAATAGTATCCTTATACCTGGTCACTCGATAGGCGATGCCGACTGTACTAATCTTATCCATATTTCCCGATAGCACACTGCGTCAGATCATTATGCAACCAAAAAGGTTTGGAGCGAATATACACTGAAACAAAGTAGGTTTCAACGGTACAGCACCAGTCACAATGAGGGGAATTACGAGGATGGTTGGGCCGTGACACATAGGTGATGATTGTTAATGATTCATACATGGTGGAAAATTACCAACATTGGCGATGATATTGCTTTCGCAACAATGACATCAGTAGGAGCAGTGACACAGCCTTACTGCTCCAAGTAGGATTTAGAAGCGAGTGCACTACAGGAGGGAGAGCAGAGTGGTCTAATTGTAGACGGGGTCTAAGCAAGGAAATAATCGGCATCAGAGGTGAGCTTGCACATCAGAAAACAGATGATGATCACCAAACACAGAGAAGCTGGCTATGTGTATGTGTGTGCCACTGTGTGTGCATGTGCGTGTGTCTGCATGTGCGTTTGTGTGCACATCTGTGTGTAAGAGAGAGGCATACAGACAGATAGCATATCGTGGGAGGGATCAAGGTCTGACCTCCGAGTTAAATGCTGACGGTGTGGCATAGCAACAGTGCGAAATCGGGCAGGGTGGTTAATGGCCCACACTGGAGCCGAGTAGGAGCACCAGTGGTGGAGGGCTAGCACAGGAGTAGCAGCAGCTCCAGCCTAGGAAGATCAGATTCTGGATCCCGGACACAGTAGGTACCAAGCTTCACTAGCAGGTTGCCGGCAGGGGTGCACTGCGAGCATCCGTACATCCCTCAAGCCACCAGAACCGCAGTACTTGGACACGATCCAGGTGCTTACCCGCCAACAATGCTGAGAAGGCTCTGGAGCCATACGGGAACTTATGATAGAGCATGACCACAGACTTGAGATACAGGGTACGGCTTTGAATACTTAGACAGCAACGTCTCCTCCACAGAACACCACTCAGCCCCACCATTGCATTATTTTCACTTTTTCATAATGTTTATAATTGTGTTAAAGCACACAACACTCGATGCAACGTTTACCAGTGACTAAATGACTCCGCGTCTCCGACCACAACTGCAGCGTTCCCGTGAGCCTCTTGGATTTCCGTCAGCCGGTTGAGATTATCTTCATCTCGTCACATGTGAGCCTGTGTGTTTCATCCATATCGCGGCACAATTACACAGAGACGATTTCCAACTCAGGCCGGTTCCTTTGCTCGAAGGGTTGGCGGTAAGAATTGCTACGCCGTCTGTGGCTGCTTGGGAACTTGGCGAGTCGTGGTCTTTCTCCATACATCCTGATCGGCACGCGAACAAAAGCCGCTATTGCCTAAATACTACGACACAACAGTATCAAGCATTTGGTAGCTATATACTCTATGTATAGTGTAAATCAACAGGCATGATGCCAATTAACAATGGACCCACTGTTTCAGTCTTCACATACTCAGTGTTTATGTCTCCTCATACTTGAAGATATTTGATTATGCAGATACATCTTGGGATAGATTATCCTCTTCCGCTGCTGCAAAGCTTGAATTACACCACAAGAAAATTCTTAAAATTCTCCTCTGTCAACCACGCATGCTTTCATCATCCGCCGTTTATAAAGTCGCTCACACAACCCCGTTATCACATGGACGCAGTGTACACCTGGCTTCTCTTGTAGATTATTATGCTTGAGTTGTACCCACCTCATCTCATGTGTTTTAACTGGTTCTCTTCTCTAAGAACTAGAAACTTGCTCTTACTCCCTAAGTGTAACTCATCCACTCTTTTGCGCTCCCCTGACTTTATTGCTTTTCTGTTTGGCTCACTCTACCCAAAGAAGTTGAGGATCTGACGTCACTCCGCCTGTTTAAGATCCGTGCCGCTCCTTATTTACTACGACATAAATAGCTCATTATCCACATGTCCTTTGCCTCTCTGTGTTTTTCACTGTTTTTATTTGTCATTATCTTTCTTTACGGAGTTGTTGTTGCTGTTCATTTTGCTACTCTTTCTTTTTCCCTCCCCTTATTTTTATTTAGCGCCGTGGTTGGCAATCACCCAATCTCTTAACATTGGCCGGTGTTTCCCTCCCCCCCCCTCCCCGGAGGATGTACCCAGTGTGACAGTGTGCTGACAGTGCTCAACACTGTGGAGGCAAAGCATAATACAGGCCAACAAGGAGAATCCAGGCTTTCGAGCTGCACAATACGCAGTGTTTCGGGGAAATCACCTTCATCCATTGAGAAGGCTGAGAAGGAGTGTACCTGAAGACCATCACTTTTATAGTGCTCCTTAGGACCAGACATCAACAGGGATACAAACTTACAGAAATGCTTCGTTTTCATCCGAGGAACCTCGTGAACACCATATAGCAGCGTGAGGCATTGTCGCTCCTGGCCGGTGAGAACACACGTCGAGGACCATTGGTCATTCACAAAGCACGAGCTCCAGTTTGGGGAGGAAACCCCAAGGATTGCGATAGTTGCGCAAGATTGCCCAGAAGGTTCTTGTGTATTAGGAAGCTAGCTCACGTTAGTTTCACATGTGCAGAGATGTCTCGTCGTACAGGTAGAAATTTAAGGACATAGCAGTTGTCCAATGCAGGATTTCAGGTATTCATTCCAGTTGGAAAATCAAAAATCGAAAAAAGTTCTCTTTAAAGCACAGCTGCGGCCCTCCGGTACCTGAGAAATCGAGATCTAATCGCGTGTTCACCGGAAGTAGTTTACTCAAAGCAACCTGAGAAAATTTTTGAAGTTCTCATTGAGAGCGGAGCAACCATGTGAACTGTTTTCTGGACTGGACAGGAAGGTCCATCCTTCCACGTCGAGAGGGCCTGGTTTGTTTCCAATGTCTTTCCTGAGGCATTTGTCGTTGGCACTGAGGCTGCGTTTGCACGGAGACGAAACAATACAAAACGAAACAAAACGGAACGAAAACGATTCATGCGCTGTATCATGCGCTTTACATGTCATGTGCATGTCGTGTGCATGTTGAATTGTTCATGCGGAGTTAAATGATGATTAACGGGCTGGCTGCGAATCGTTTTCAAACCGTTTACACGAGAACAGCAGATCGTTTTTAACCATTTAGACGAAAACGGAAAATGGGTGAACAGGCTGCAGTTAGCACTTGCTGGCTTGCCACAACGGCGGGAAGTGACACGTTAGTTGGAGTTGGTACGTGCTGGTGGTCGCAAGATTTGTTTATTTCCCGCGAAATATAGTCCCGCGCGAAACGGTCTGCATTACCGCGCTCCGTTTCCAATCGTTTCCCCTGTTTTCACCATTTACACGAGAACGAAAACGTTTTGAAAAAGTTTTGAAAACGTTTCAAAACACTTAGAAATGCTTTTCAATTCCGTTCCGTTAAGGTATCGCTTTCGGCCATTGTCGTGTACACAATCGTAGTAAACGCAACGTTTTCGTTCCGCTTAGGTCGTACTTCGTGTCGTATAAACGCAAATCGTTTTCAATCGTTGTCGTGTAAACGCAGCCTGAGTCTAGAGTTATTATTAGTTGCAGTACCTCGTCCCTCTGGATGATCACAGTCGAGCCACAGACAATGGTCAGGTTAAGTGCAAGATGTGAGCGTTTGCTGTGGCTGTTTAGTAGCTTTATCTTGCATGAGTTCAGAAGCAGACTACAACCTGTGACGAACCGCGTCTCAACAGAAAACAGGACATGATTGTGCATTGACACTTTCCAGAGGCATACAGGGTGATGTGATGAGCGTGAAGAAGGCAACATTGATTTTGGTAGATACGTGATGTATGGTTTAGATTTGGCTCGGACATGCGGATCTGGTTTGAATAACTGTACTTCTCATTTTTTCTGAACAGAAATCAAATGTCCGGCACGTCGCCCACTATCATCTGGCAAGACTGTAGAAATCTTTCCAGGCATCGTCTTCTTTGCATGCTATGCCGGATTTCAACTTGTAGGCACATCAGCTTCAAGGTGTATGGCTAATGGAAGCTGGTCGACTAGTATACCACAATGCAACCGTAAGATATCCAGCAAGCACTTACATAGTAATATAGTATTTCACAAAAGCAAATTTAGAACCTTGCTCACCTTGCCCACGACACTCGGTATTTCATATCAACTGGGATGCGGAAAGGGGGACGCAGTTCAAAGTATGACAACAAATGAACAATATACTGAACAAGGTAGGCTGCTTCTGTTTGTGATAATCCTAAAAATATTACGAAGCAGCCTCATACATACCTAATGGCAATGCCCTAATGAACCCCTTCTTTTAAGTGCTGTATATTATATCCAACCTACTTGGTCCACCCAGTTAAAATTGGCGCTTATCTTCACACTTGTCTAAGGAAAGAAATACGAATATTTGAAGCAAGCCACGATTACAAAGCACTATACACATGATTATTTACATGTCAATAAGCAACTCAGTGGAAAATTCAAGCAAGTTACACATCCTCCTCGCCACTATCGTCGCTAGAGGAAGAGCTCAAAACGTACGATCCGGACAGCTGATGCACGGGTCGTTTCATAGCTTGTTCCACTTCTCCCCGTCTCGAATCACGCTCAAAGGCAGCGCGTGTCTGTCGCCTTCCCATTAGAAGCTGGGTGAGACTGCCCGCATGTTGACTGTAAGTGTTATCCCCGTTCGTCGCAATAATGCGTCTTTGTTTGAGACAAAAAGGCAATGCCATATCAGTGTCCTCTTTTCAAATCGCCTCTTGCGCTTGTCGTACTTGCTGATCAGCACCCGCGGCCCGTACCCACGCGAGCCGCTGGTGCTTTAAGATCTACATGCAGCGCAGTGATAGCTTCCGCTTGATGTAGCACCTGTGCGTACTGCACCTACAACGCCGTGCACCAGGCTTTTCGGCTAGTTTCCTGAAAGTCCTTTGCACGAGTGTTTCTCTCAGGACTTGGTGTTTTCTTTGAGTAGCTCCTTTGCCCTGTCTTCTGTGAGCTTCAAAGTGTGTCCGCCGGCTTGGTCTCACTTACTGGAGATATCGACATGAGCTGCAGTTTCTTCGCCAGCGAATTTCATGTGATAGCCCTTCACTAGGCGCTGTACTGTGCAAGCACTGACATTCAAGCTCGAGAAGTGCTTTTTCAGCTTTTCTTACCTCCCCGGGGTAAACAATCCTTGCCATTAGACAGCTGGAAGGTGAAAGAAACTGTATTATCCATCGCTCTGAATTGCGAACATCTTGACCTATTTTATAGACTCGAGCGGAGGTTGCAGGGTGTTCTTGCGCTGACGGAAGTGTTCGTCGGCGGCAGCTCCGTCAAAAAGACTCAAACGAAACGATCGCAACTTCTGTGATGATTTGTGCTGCCATGTCGTCGGACGCAATGGTCAATGGTTATGTTCGGATGGTGAATCGGTGGTTCCATGCCGTGTGGCACAGGCAGAACACCAAAAAACCAAGTGAGAAGATAAGCCCCAATTTTAACTTGGCGGACCAAGTATTTGTACAATTGCTCTTAGAGACGGGAAGCCTATAAGGGACGGAAAACCAAACAATTCTTTATCATGATCCTAATAAGGACTCCAAAATTCATCAACCAGTTTTCGGGCATTATCTTCAAATGATTTACAAGAAACCAGATCCAAGGAAACATAACGATAAGTAGCATAACAACTATTATAATTAGGTGATAAGTGTAGGGAACAAATATGCTCCAGTGGGGATGAGAGAAAGGGGAAAGGGAGAACAAGAAGTTGGGAAGTGACGCAAGAGAAACTAAAACGCAAAATGTGTGGGATAAAGCACCTAATGGACGTTGTATTCACTCACGGAGAGAACACATCAGTACACAACAGTTTAACCTGAGAGAAAGTACATGTTTCTTTTCGTTAAAACCATGTGGCTCTATATTGTGAATATAATTTCTTCTACTGTGTTCAATGGGGACAGACCGCGACCACGCGCACGGCACCAAACAGAGAAGTGGCTATCCGAATGCACACGTGCACAATCAGCATTGGCAATGGAGTGGTCACTAGCAGACTTCATGATCCAGAGAAGAAACATTGATACTTGAGCTAGGTTCACAGTCAGGCGTGTCCTGTGTTTGCTGGGCAGATATTCTTGCAGGTGCAGAAATCTGCAGCACATCAGTTGTTGTTGACACTTCAATTGACTCTGTTGGTGACGCTGCCCGTGACCCTGCACTTGGCAGTGTCACTGAACCTGCCACTAGAGACACATTGCATGTATTTACTTTGAAGAGGATGTCCGAAACTGGTTCATGCGTTTTGAAGTTCTTATTGATGAGGATTGTAGTGTTCTTTCAACGCAAGATAACACTACAATAATGATGATGAATAACTTCAGATTTGTAGGTTCTTGTCCAACATAATTATACTGACACACACGGAGACATAGACACAAATGGCGACAACAAGCAAGTCGAAGTGAAGTTCGTCGAAGCCAGATGTGACTCCCAGATACATGCATCTATCACAATTTCCATGATTAGATCTATCCAGGGTGCTGTTGTCCGTCGCCATTCCTTGACCAATAACACATGTGGGAATACAGCCGGCTCGCTAATCAGTGGGGGACCTGCACAAAAAAACGCTCATAGTGCGCTTTTGGAAGGGCGAAGTTCACTGAAATTGGATCGATGTCTTTCGTACTTGCACAAGAACACTAGCAGTATTGGAAAGGTGAGAGGCTGAGCTGCTTCATGTTTTGTTCTCTTCTCACCAGCAATTCAATGCTTTCCATTTGCTTCACCCAAGAATGGTACACTCGTAGGAAGCTCACAGGCGGTGTTTGGCATCACCGAGTTTGCATGCAACGAAGGATACGCGCTCAAAGGGCAGAGATCTACAATATGTAAGGAGGATGGAACCTGGTCATCTAACGCACCCTTGTGTGAAGGTAAGATGGTTATATTCTTGGTTAGGCCCAAGCTAAGCCACCCCAAGCATACTATACCGTCACCCATGTCGTATCCTGTACGTGAAACGAAATTCGGCCGACACGTTTCTTACTTTAATAATAATGTTTTACTCTAGGACATAACTAAGTTATGCCCAAGAACTCTCTCATTTTGAGTTGCGATACCAGTAATTCATGTTTTGTTCTCTTCTCACCAGCAATTCAATGCTTTCCATTTGCTTCACCCAAGAATGGTACACTCGTAGGAAGCTCACGGGGGGTGTTTGGCATCACCGAGTTTGCATGCAACGAAGGATACGCACTCAAAGGGCAGAGATCTTCAGTATGTAAGGAGGATGGAACCTGGTCATCTAACGCACCCTCGTGTGAAGGTAAGATCGTTGTATTCTTGGTTAATCCCAAGCTGAGCCACCCCAACCATACTATACCGTCACCAGTGTCGTATCCTGTACGTGAAACGAAATTCGGCCAACACGTTTCGTACTTTAAGGGAGCATATTTGAGAATACCAAAGTATATGTGCAAGTGGATTTTTCCGATTTCGCTCAAATTTTGCAGGTATGTTCCCTTTGGGGTGTAGATCGGTTGTGCAAAGCCCTTGAAAACGTTTCTGAAGGGAACCTTGAAACTTGCATACCCCTCAAAAATGGTCGAAATATCACACTATTAATGGGTCTACAAACGAGTCAAGCCACCGACAATTTTTGGTGCGATCGTTCATGTAAAAGTGACTGAAGTCCTGAGCGCAGTTCTTGAATTTTATTGCAAGAGGCACGGTGAAATCACGTGCCTTGTGACGCAAGACTGCGAAGTGGATCATGGCTCACGAGATTTCAGAGTCACCTTCATCATGTGCGCTTGTTACTCGCCTTGAACGCCCGTTGGGCTGGAAGCGATCACACTCATGTTGTTACTGCACTCAAGAACACCGTGACCGTGTTGCAGGCCTACTAACCGGGACTTTCTCTTACCATGTACAGTAGCTCGAAGACCAGTGAACTGATGATGAAATCACATCCTTTATGACGTAAGAAATCTGCCATGCAGTTCACGCGACAGCCGCATGCAGCCAGAGCTGTTAGCGTACCATGTACCAGTCAACACAAAGGGACTGAGCTAGCCGCTCTTGTCGAGGATCGACACGAAACAAGGGAATTTTAGTGTAGGACTATGTTCGGGATCACAAGGGGGAAGTGTGAAAGATCCATAACTCTCCTTGCTGTGCGGGAAAAAAAATTGGTGGCGCAAGGAGGAGCTTGTCGTTTGGAGTGACAAGTGATCACCACTGCTTTTCCTTGTCAGAGTCTACAATACACTTCTGCAGCGTTGGGAGTGGCGTTTGAGTAGAAATAGTCGAGGAGAAATCGCGGAGTGGTGGGCTTTCCTGCGCAGGTATGACTATGGCCGTATTTTAGCATGGTGGAGTGGAAAATTCAAAAGAGTTTATTTAAAACAAAACTCAAGAGTAAGATGGGGGACATGTCCTCAGCGCTAGAAGAGGTGTTCTACTATCTGCCGGTGTATAGTTCTTGCAATTTGTGGGCGTAGCTGGCTGTTTTGCCAGCGCTTGTAAATAACCTATTTTCAAGACGATCATTTGTGGCGTCAGGGGGTTATGACCCTCGTCTTCTGGGATGCTTGCGTGGCTAAACCCTACCGCTCCAGGAACTCTTCTAAGGTGAGGCAATATCGCCTTGATGGAGGTTTGTTCGTAGTATGTTCATATACGCTGTGGCGAGGCTCGATTGTAGACCCATAAATAGTGTGATATTTCGGCCATTTGTAAGGGGTATGCAAGTTTCAAGGTTCCCTTCAAAAACGTCTTTTCAAGCGCTTTGTACAATCGATCTACACCCCAAAGGGAACATATCTGCAAAATTTGAGTGACATCGGAGAGATCCACTTGCCCACGTACTTTGGTATTCTCAGGCATGCTCCCGTAAGCATTTTATGAACACTGAAAAGGCCAAGGATTAAAGTATAGGAAAAAGTACCATTGGACACTACCGATTGTCAATATCATGCAATGTAATCACTGACTTTATCATTTTTAGACATCACAAATTAAGAATTTACCATCCAGGGCCTTAGGGCGAGTGTGAATAGCAACTGAATAGAGCCGTTGTCAGTTGACAAACCCCCTTTTCTTTAAAACGCAGTTGCGTGATGTCCACCACTTTCGTAGCGATAAGTTATCTAGTACAAGGGCGAAGGCCAAAATGTTAAACAACGTAACCAGATCATATACAGTCCGCGTGTGGGACAAAAAGGCACACAACTGACTAACACTTATGAGTACGGAGACCTACATTGTCTAAGCGACCTGACACTTAGGGTGCGTTCTTAAATCCTCTCGGAAAAATGGGAGACTCTCCGAAAAGCTCGAGAGCTGTTCTTATATCCTCTCCGAATTTTAGGAGGCTCTCCAAAGCTCTCCAAGCTCTCCAAGCTTCAGAGGTGGTTGAAACTTGGAGATTCTCGCGGTTTGGGATCAGCGCATGCGAACTAGGCTAAAAGCCACGTGTTGATCATTTCCCTTTTCGCATACGCACAGCGCATACTTTACATGTTTTCGTGGCACTCAAGATCGCGGCCCCTTTGGCGCTTCATTTTGCTTGACAGCTGCAAAATATCTCCGAATTCTTCGAGACCCGTTCTTGATGAATCCCAGTTTCTTCGACTTCTCTTTTCTTCTTCTCCTAGAAGCTAGAGAATTTAAGAACGCACCCCCCCCCCCCTTAGTCTCACTATACCGCATTTCCTATACTAAGATTTTGCATGGCTGTAGGAAGCTCTCCAGGCGTCTTGGTCTGTGCAAGCTGGACAAGATTTGAACTTGCAGGAAAAGCAGCTGTCAGGTGTATGGCTAATGGAAGCAGGTTGTCCAGCATGCCCCAATTCAATGATAAGATATGCAGCTTGCTCTTAGGAAGAAAGAAACAAACTTTTACATGTTGTCCGTAGTTTGTCCTTCTGTGTGTGATATGCCTAAACAAAATTATGAAGCAGCCTCAGAACTTTAGCAGCCTTGCCCTAACGAACATCCTCTTTCTTTCTAGTGTTGCTTATTAGACCTCACCTACTCGCAAAATTTGTACAATTGTTCTGAAATAACTTTCTTAGAGAGAGGGAGAAATGAGGGACGGAAAACAACAAATATCAAGCTTTTATTTAAAAGGATTGGGAGAACTACAAATTTAAAGTATCAGTCGGGGAAGTGAACTGCCTGAAAAGAGAAAAATTAACAGACGCACCAGGACTCGAACCCGGGATCTTGCTTGCCATGAACAATGCTCTAACCACTAAGCTATGGGACCAGGCTGAACCTAGAAGGCGCTGACAGGTTTGTCACTCCAAAGGCAGCTCACAACACGTGCCACACATACTGATGACATTTGGGTCTTTTTCCCCTCCCCCAGGGGACCAACCATGGTCAGTTTCTGGACCCTACCAGAGGTGAAAGAAAATGATTAATTTATTGAAAGATTAGGAGAACTTCAAATTCAAAGTATCATTCGGGGAAATTAACGGCCTTAAAAGAGAAAAAATTGCCAGATCCACCAGGACGCGAACCGGGGGCCTTGCTTGTCATGAGCCATGCTCTAACCACTGAGCTATGGGACAAGGCTGAACCTAGAATACGCTGACAAGTTTTTCCCTCCAAGGGCAGCTCACAACACGTGATTAGAGCATTGCTGCATGACAAGCAATCAAGGTCCCCAGGTTCAAGCCCTGGTGGGTCTGGCAATTTTTTCTCCTTTCAGGCGGTTCACTTCCCCGACTAATAATTTCAATTTTCAAGTTCTCCCAATCCTTTCAAAAAATTGATCACTTTCTTTCCTTTCTGGTAAGATCCAGAAACTGACCGTGGTTGGTCCCCTGAGGGAGGGAAAAAGTACAAAGTACCATCAGTATGTGTGGACCATGTTCTGATCTGCCTTTGGAGTGAAAATGTCAGCGCCTTCTAGGTTCAGCCTGATCCCATAGCTCAGCGGTTAGAGCAATGCTCATGACAGGCAAGGTCCTGGGTTCGAGTCCTGGTAGGTCTGGCACTTTTTTCTCTTTTCAGACAGTTCACTTTCTCGACTGATACTTTGAATCAAGGTATTCATTACTATTATCATCAATGAGGACTCCAAAATTCATGAAACAGTTTTCGGGCATTCTCTTCAAATGGATTACAAGAAAACAGAACCAATGAACCATAACGCTGAGAAACATAACATGGGTGGAAACCATTACAACGTGGTGATAAATACGGGGAAGAATTTATGCACAAAGTAGAGGGGGGGGGTTAAGTGACAGAAGTACGAAAGAACGAGAACGTGAGAAGCGAGACAAGAGGAACGAACACGCAAACTGTTTGAATACAAACGCCAAATTTACGCTAGCATTAACTAATGGAAAGAGGGTGTCAGGAAGCTACAGTTAAACTTGAAAAACAGTGCATTTTCTTTTGGTACGCAAAGGTGGCTGGGTATTGTAAATCTAATTTCTTTTAACACCTTCAGATGGGCAAGAGCTCGACCACAGGCACGTGGCGAAACGGAGAAGCAGCTATCAGAATACAGACGAGCACAATCAGCATTCGCAGCGAGGTAGTTGCTTACAGATTAATCATATTCACGATCAAGAGAACACACATTTAGACGTTGACTCCGGTAGTAACGCTGCCAGTGACCCTGCATTTGGTGGCGTCACTGAACCTTTAAAACACTAGAGACACACAGTGACACTGCATATAATAAATGTGATGAGAATGTCCCAAACTGGGTTATGAATTATTTTGGATTACGTATTGATGATGGTGTTGATAAATAGCTTGAGATTTATAGTTTCTTGCTCAACATATACTGACGCAAACCAAGACATTGACAGAAACGGCGCCAGCACATAAATCGAAGAGAAGTTGCCCGCAGCCAGATGTTACTACCTGATATATGCGTCTATCATCATTGCCATTGTTAGACATATCCAGAATGCTGTTGGCAGTCGCCACTCCTTGACCAATAACACACGTGGGAATACAGCCTGCTCGCTAGTCAGTGGGAGGGCTGCACACAAAGTGCTCGACAGGAGGTTTTCATGGGCTAAAAAAAGGATGGATGTCTAACTTGGATAGGAAACATACCACCATCAGAAAGTTGACAGCTGGTTCATGTTTTTTCTCTTTTCACCAGCAATTAGATGCTCACAACTTGCTCCACCCAAGAATGGTACCGTTGTAAGAAGTTCTCTAGTGCTATTTGGCATCATCGAGTTTGCGTGCAACGACGGATACGCACTCAAAGGGCAAAGAGCTGCAATATGTAAGGAGGATGAAACCTGGTCATCTAAAACACCCATGTGTGAAGAAGGTAAGATGGTTGTTTTCTTGTTAAGCCAATGCTTAGCCACCCCACGCATACTATGCTGGTGTAAGTCACGTATCATATTCATGTTAAGGAAAGATGATGACACATTCGAATAGGTCTTTAAAAAGTCGGGATCCCAAAGTGAAGCAATTTGGTAGGATGTTTATGTGTGCGAGGTTTATCGCGGAAATGCATGTGGGTGGCAGCTCGAGTTCGAATCTTATGTTTTGAATTAATTAATAGAATAATAAGAACAGTTGCAGTCACAGTTCCCATGTCACGCATAGAAGGATCCATGGGCTTAACGCATCTGTCAATGAAATCCAGGCGGAAGAGCCAACAAAAGGCATCTAAATATTGCTAGAACATATAGCAGTTAGAACAACTACGCAAGCGCAGCATATTTTCCAAAAGCATCAGCCATTTTTTCATGTCTAGAGCCAGTTAAAAACGTGTCAGAAATATAAATATTAGCCTGCTTTATAGGATTTTAATATTGTCAATCCATCTGAGAAGAGGTCGGGCGCGTGGCCGCTTGATGTTCCGGTATTAATTGCCACCTCCAGTGCTTGGTAAGACGCTGAGTTAGGTCCTTCGCGAACAACATGGCCCAGCCAGAGCAGTTGACGTCTGCAACAGATAATGCTGAGTGGGTCTTGTCGCGTTGAGGAGTACACCGTGGCATTTGACTTGTGGCGAGGGTACACAACACCAGGTAGGTACTGCGATTTCCTTTGCTGCCATGCATCCAGCCAGGTATTGAGTTGCTGTGTCAGTGCCCACAGTCCCTAGGTATACAACATAGGCAGAATGCGCTGAAAGCGTCAACTGCGGAGAACGTTGGTGGATGCATATGCGTATCGATGACAATATGTGCAGGACCACGATGCAATGGCGTATAGAAACATACCCCACAAAATGTGTGCCTCTTAAGACCCGTGTTCATTCCGTGTATCGTCTCATTACTGCTTGTCCGTTTTGTGGGAAACCGTACACGTCTTACTGGCCATAATCTAATTTTTGGTTTGCTCCTTCTTCTTTCCGTTTTATCTCCTAATGATCGTTTTTTTTAGCATCTTTTTAGTATAACATTGTACTGTTGAGCCCCCGAAGTAAATATATATTCAAAACAGATAGATGTTCTGGTGTGCTTGGTTATGGCCGTCTCCCTTCCTTTGCAACAAGATGTAAATCGAAATATTTGGTACATCCATGTGTTTCCCAGTACGTGAAGAGTGAAACGTGTGTTGCATTTGTTTACATTTTTCTTTGCAATTTTCTGCCTGAATAGTGATCCAGTGCCCAAAAATTGGTGAACCCGCTAACGGAATCATTGTCAGAAGCTCTCACGTTTTCCTGGGTGTCACTGAATTCGCGTGCGACGAAGGATACTCACTCGTAGGCAATTCGTCGTCAGTCTGCATGAGCAATGGCAATTGGTCATCTAATGCTCCAAAGTGTCAAGGTGAGTTTCCTATCAATTCACCACACATTTTTCCGGTACTACACTGCTTAGTTCCGCGCAGCAGAAAGGATGGACAGGTCATTGACTTTGTTTGCGCTGACAAGTTCGAGCGACATTTTCCTTTGGGTCCAGTAACTATCAATTACTAAAATAACACCAGTTACCTGCACAGCAGCCCTCTGCTTTCTTCAACTTTATTGGTACCTCTCCGGCCACGATATGTTAGAGATCTAGAAAGTAAGGTGTAGATTAAGAGAATCGGTAAAAAGGTGAGAATTCTGAGAATTCTGTAAAGCGCAATTATGAGTTTAAGAAGGAATGTTGTGCGGATAGAACACCACTTCAATTGTTGGCGCTCCGGTTCACGTTCCAAGCCTAACCAACGCGAAGCAGACTTCATGGAGGATGAACGACGACTCGGCACATCCGTAGTTCATCCCGGAACAGCCACGACGAACGTGGCCTCCCGCGTGGGACTCACCATATCTGGTGAACACCTCACTGGGGCAGCCACTGACCGACGGTCCCTCGCTATAGTCTCTCGACATATACAGAGAAAGACCCCAGACGACATCTTACTACAGCAACTCGAGTTTCCTTCCTCAGCGGCAGGACTGCAACGAGATAGTGGCGCCCGAGCTGGACAGCTTTCAGATTTCGCCAAATACAGCCAAATCATTATCAAGCTTTGTCAGCTCGACCTCAGAGAAGAGGATTTAGGCTCGCGCATCGAGACGGTCGCGCTCGCGCAGCTTACCGAACTACAGGACGCAAGAACAGATCTCGCGTTCTCAGACTGCTTGCAATCAGCACAAACACGACTTGTGTAGCAGCTGCGCACGTCCGATGTATTCACCGACGAGAACAGGCGCCTCATCGCCATATCAGGTGAAGTTCTCCACGCAAGTGCGCAAGCTGGTTCCGCTCCCGACGGGAGACAACAGCCCACTCGCGGTGGGAGTTACAATCGACCCAACCAAGGAAGAGGGAGAGCCCGCGGTACGCAGTCATAATTACGGACACAACGGAATGGGCAAGGATCGGCGCATCGCCAATGATCCGGGACTGGTTGAGCAACGGCTTCCCGATAAAATTCAAACAGTACCAGCCAGCGTTCCACCAAGGCAACAGGTCAATGCCGAAGGAGAGAAGAGACTTTATCACGGCTCACATACAAGAATTTCTCGTACAGGGAGCAATCGAGAAGCTCTGACGGCTGTTACTCGTCGGATCAACGTCGTAATGTCGCGGCTCAAGACAACCCTCCTGGCAAAGCACATCCCAGGAGTAGACAATTGCGAAGCGGATCGCCTCAGCCGAATACGAGATCCCAGCAACTGGTCACTGAACTGAGCTATCTTCCGGACGATAGAAAGAGAACTGGGACCACACGATGTGGACCGCTTTGCCAACTATCAGAACACACAGTTACCTCGCTACAACTCCTGGTGGTTGGACGAGGAGACGGAAGCAGTAGATGGTTGGTTGGTTGGTTGGTTTTTATTTCACTTCGCACATTCAAACGGGATGACGACCCAATAAAATGACGGCGAAGGCATAGCCTAGAAGTGGCTATGGAAGAACATAGTAAAAGCTATGGAAGCACATAGTAAGAGAATAGGATACTAATAACTGCGGGTAAACGGGGGGAGAGCGAGAATACGATGTATCTGTGATGCTACGTGCGGGTTACTGAACTGCACGGGGAGGGAGAGCAGAGCGATCAGCAGCAACTCGAACTACTCCCTACAGGCGTATGGTACACATGCATGCTTAAACTCAGGTAGCCGGGTAATTGTGCGGACCTCACCAGGGAGAGCGTTCCACAGCAAAGCACCAGCAACAGAAAATCTCCGCTGACCGCGGCGGCTACGGTTTGCCTGGCTTAGTAGGCCATTTGACTGCTGATGGCGGGTAGGGGTGCCTTGTGCCGGGGTCAGAAGCTGGGCGAGCACAGGGCTGGTGCGGGCGTGGATGCACAGCCAGATGGTGATCAATATTTTCTGCCTGTAGAGCTCGCTGACACGGTACAGGGAGTGAGCAGTGAGCAGCGCCTGCATGGCTGTCCTGGGCGGGTTTGCGTGGTTTGCAGTCGTTTCAGTTGACTACAACGGTTCGGATATGCTGGCTGAATTTTAGCTGATGGTCAAACGTGCCGCCGAGTACTTTGATGGAGGGCTGCTCCTCGACAGGAGTTCCATTGAAGACAATGGGGGGGGGGGGGGGGGGGGGTATTGGCCAGTCCCGACGATGGTGGGAAATTTTAAGGGCCTGAGATTTGGCTGGCTCGAACTGCACTTTCCAATCCGAGCCCAAACTGGATACTAGGTCAACAGCAGCCTGGTTTACTCTAGCATTGTCAGGAACAGCAGCGAGCGTTGCAATTTCGGCGTAAAGGGTTGTGTCGTCGGCGAATGAGGCAAGGTTGGAGCCGATTGGGTCTTTGGTCTTCAAGGTCGTCGACGTAGACCAAGAATAAGATGGGGCCCAGGATACTGCTCTGTGGCACCCCAGCCTTAACTGGGCGTCTGGCTGATGTCTGGCCGGAGATGAGGACTTGAAGTGTGCGGTTGCAGGGGTAGTCTTGGAGCTACCGATGCAGGTCTCCCGAGATGCCATACACTCTAGCCTTGTGCGTATACGAATAAGCTATGAACAAAACTCCATCAAGCCAACATTGCCTCACCTTAAAAGAGTTCCTGGAGCAGTACCGCTTAGCCACGCCAGGATCCCAGAAGACGAGGTCCATCACCCCCTAACGCCACAAATGATCATCTTGAAAATAGCTAATTTACAAGCGCTGGCAAAACAGCCAGCTACGCCCTGAACTGGCCAGAACTATACACTGGCAGATAATAGAACACCTCTTCTAGCGCTGACGATATGTTCCCCATCTTCGTTTTGGGGTTTTCTTGAAATACACTTTTTGAATTTTTCCACTCGACCATGCTGAAATACGGCCAAAGCTCACCCCTCCGTGACATCTTCTCAGCAATTTCTACTCCAACACTACTACCAACGCCGCAGAGCAAAGTGTATTGTTGCCTCTGACAGGGAAAAGCAGCGGTGATCACTTGTCACTCCAAACTTCTCCTTGCGACACCAATAATTTTTGGAGCGACTGTTGATGCAAAAGTGAGTGAAGGCATGAGCGCAGTTTTTGAATTTGATTGCAAGATGCACGCTGAGATCGCGTGCTCTGTGACGTAGGATGACGCTTCCAGGATCACGGCACGCGGCCATCGATCACGAACGTGCCTGGAACGCTACTTGGAACAGACCATGATGGCAGTCGTAAGATGAGCTGTATTTCCTGACTAACAAGCGCACTTGACGAAGGGGACTCTGAAATCTCGTGAGCCGTGATCCATGCGACTTGGCATTCTTGCGTCACAAGGCACGTAATTTCACCGTGTCTCTTGAAGTAAAATTCAAGAATTGCGCTCATCCCTTCAGTCTTTTTTGCAGTCACAGTCGAGTGGAAAAATTCAAAAAAGTGTATTTCAAGAAAACCTCAAAAGGAAGATGGGGGACATGTCCTCAGCGTCAAAAGAGGTGTTCTACTATCTGGCGGTGTATAGTTCTGGCCAATTGAGGACGTAGCTGGCTGTTTTTCCAGCGCTTGTAAATTGGCTATTTTCAAGACGATCATTTGTGTCGTCAAAAGGTGATGGACGTCGTCTTCTGGGATCCTGGGGGTGGCTAAGCGGTACTGCTCCAGGAACTCTTCTTAGGTGAGGCAATGTTGGCTTGTTGGAGTTCTGTTCATAGCTTGTTCGTGTACGCTGTTGCATGACTCGTTTCTAGACCCATAAATAACGTGATATTTCGGCCGTTTTTGAGGGTATGCAAATTTCAAGGTTCTTTCAGAAACTTTTTCAAGGGCTTTGCACAATCGATCCACACCCCAAAGGGAACCAATCTGCAAATTTTGAGTGAAATCGGAGAGGTCCCCTTGCACTCATACTTTGGTATTCTCAGACATGCTCTCTTAAGCACGGTGTGTGCATCCGTTGCACCTGGTACGCTGGCTCAGTATCACAGAATTGCAGTTGACCTGATCACTTTCAGCGGTGATAACGACTGCCTGAGCTTGGACATCGTAAGCAGCTTCATCGAATTTGTTTTGTGAAAGTAAGTTGTGTTCTTTTCTCACTCACAAGTCAGTACTACAAGTATATACACACCTGCACCCATACTCACACACGCACACACACACACACACACACATACAATCTCTCTCTCACACACACAC